AAAAGGAAAGATAAGGTTTAGCTAAATAGTGTCTGAAAGAGTTAAAGTCTAAAAAGAAAACGTACTTAATGTGTACCCAGGTGTTTATTAAAAAAAATCTTTTTTTTGTATGAAGTTATATCTTTACCTAGACACAAAACAGTTGGAGTAAGTCAATGTTTTGTTTATTTTAAAAACTCTATTTTTCTAGAAAAGGCAATATTGAAAGGAATGTCTGCTAAGCAGGAATTAGTCAAGTTATTTTGAGGGGGCAGCAGAGAGAGGAGGGGGCTTTGGAAGACAGCATTCCAGGCAAAAGGAAAAGTATGCGCAGAGCCTGGCGTGCAGAGGGACCCTCTGGGGAGTTCAGCTTGCCGGGAGCTCACCCAGGGCAGCAAGAGATGAGTCTGGAGAGAGGGCACCGGCTGGTCACGAAGGGCTTTGTACACATTGGACGGGGTGAACCCAGGAGGAGGAAAGCGGTGAGGGAGAGGAGTTCAGTTTTTGGACATGTGGATATGTCAGTAGGTAACTGGGTAGATGGTTCTGGAGATAAGGAGAGAAAGCCAACTTGGAAGTTTCTTGGAAATCATCAATTTGTGGATGGTAATTGAAGCCACAGTAGCAGAGGTTGCCATGTACCGAGGAAAACAGATGAGGGCTAAGACAGGGCCTTGGGAAATGCACTGAAGGAGGCAGAGGAAGCCCAGAGAAAGGACTGAGGAGTAGCCAGAGGCGGAAGAAAAACCAGGAGTGTGGGGAAACAGGAGCACAGGAACAGTACTTCAGCAACGCAGGGAGTGGCTACAGGGCCGTTTGAGGTAACCCAAACGTCCAGTCTGGGAAGAACAGTTGTGGCGGGGCAGGCTGGTGGCAGGGACTGCTCTCCTCTGTGACAGGAGGAGAGGGGAAAGTCGATGCAGGGATGTTCAGCATGTGGGTAGCAGGAAGTCAAGAGATTTCTTGAATGATGCCCCAAATTTTCTCGCTGAGAGTGACAGATGAGACGGTGGGGAAGGAGATGTGAGGAGAACAGGAAGTCTGGAATAGCATCCATGAAGACGGAAAGGGACTGATTTCAAGAGGATAGAGTGATCACAGGCACCATACTAAATAAACAGCAACAATAGGAAAAAATATAAAAAATAAACTCAAATTCCTAGAGGACCAGAGATCTGGGGAATCTTTAAGAGAATGGATACAGGCCAGAAGCCATAGTGGCAAGGAGGGGCTGCAGCAAAACCGCCGACACCGGGGCTGAACGTAGAAGACTTCGTTTGGTTACTGCGCACCTACTATGTGTCAGACACTGCCCTAGGTGCTGGTTTCTGCTGCAACAGATGAGTGCAAACTGAGAACGGGAGAAGGGGACACTAGGGAAATACCGAGCGGAGCTCGGTGGAGAGGAGAGACCATACATTTGTAGAGGCACAGTCCGAACAACTTGGGATTTCCTTTCGGCAACCCAGGTGTGAGAGCAGGGTTGGACTGACCGTGAATTAGAGTTTAGCTGAATGGACAATGGAAGGGTCACAGAGGCAAGGGGCATAAGGATATTGGCAGGAAAGCAATTCAGCCGGTTATTTTAGAGCTGGACTTACAAATCACGTAAGTGATCTAATTAGACTGGTGAGCGGCCAACACAGAGGACAGAATTAACACCTGCCCTGCAGGGTGAGTATGACTCGAGGTAGACCTTGTCAAACTTTCACACGCATAGGGCTCTTGTGAAAACGCAGACCCTGCTTGAGTGGGGCTGGGTGGGGCCTGAGACTCTGCATTTCTAATCAGCACCTAGGTAATGAAGCTGCCACTGCTCTCAAGACCACTCTTCTTTAAAAATGATTTACTTTTTAATTGATAGATAAAAATTGCATGTATTTATCATGTACAGCATGATGTTTTGAAATATGTATACCTTGTGAGACGGCTAAATTGAGCTAATTAACATGTATTACCTCACATACTTACCACTTTTTTGTGTTAAGAAGACTTAAAATCTACTCTTAGTGATTTTCAAGAATATAATACATTGTTATTAACTATAGTCCCCATGTTGTATGACAGATCTCTTGAACTTATTCCTCTTGTCTAACTGAAACTTTATATTCTTTGACCAATGGCTATCTTCCCACACCCCCAGACCACTTGGAATAGTAAGGTTTTAAAAGGTTTGGTTTTATCTTGGGGGGAGCTGATTTGCCCCAGGGTATAGCTCACCAGCCAGGTACTGGAGCTAGCAGACTGTTCCATCTTCAGGACTTCTGCTAATTGACTGACAGTATCGTGACAGGTTGAAATTGGCCATAATAGGAGTTTTTACGTTACAGAAATCCACAAATCAGGGCTTTCCTTCTTCCCTTTGGAGAGCTGGTTGCTAAACATCTACAAACACCACTAGCTAAACCTATATATTAGTGAGGCATGCTATACAATGGGCTTCAGTGTTAGGGTAATGAGAGCAAGTTTTGAGTTGGCTTCTGAGCTTTGTTCGTACTTCGATAAAGTGGCCATCAGTCCTGATTGCGCTATCGCATGAGGTGGCTGCTGGAAGGCATTAAAGGAATTGACTTATCTCTGGTGCATCAGAGTACCTAACAGAGGCAAACACTTGATGTCACCTGTTTGTCCTATGAGACAGCTAGAGAAGTAGGTTGTGGGAAGAAAGAGAGGGACTGAGAAGTTGCCACAGGCAAAGGTGATTTGTTGGAAATTCTCACCCTAGTTGCACTGTATTTCCCTGGCTACCTGTGGGTAGGAGGCTGACCTTGGCATGGGTGTACTTGGCTGCCTTTCAAGGCCCTGGGCTACACAAGGCTGATACTTTACCTCTAGTTGGAAAATGTGAAAACTGATTCCCAAAAACAGAAAAGGAAATGTGTTAACTCCACTATATCTTCTTTATTTACTAGCCTTTAAAACGGAGGTAGACTTTTTAAAAAAAAGTTAAACATACACCTAATAAGGTCTAAGAAAACTAATTGAATCCCTTTTGGTGACAGTTTGGGGAAAATAAAATCCCTCCACTAAAAAAAGGGAGTCTCCTATTTTCTGACCTGTGGGTCATGCAGTTTTAATTTCCTCTTTCCTTTTTTTTTTGATACTTTTTAATTTCATGAACCTGCTTAAGGCCACAAAGACTCTCCTGAATCCCTCAGCTGTCTGGCAGATGAATCGCTGCCAGTTTTGCTCAGGTTACTGTCTACGCCAGGCTGAAGTTCCACGACTCTGACTGATGCACCTTCAACTCTGCTTGTCGGACGATGCGGAGGTGCTCCAAGGGGCTCTGGAGAAGGCGGCTGGAGAGGAGAGCTGATCCAGGAGCTCCTCTAGCCCTCGGAAGAGGGAAGCTCCTGGGGAGTGAGTCTAATGACACCAGGCTCTGGTTTGTGTGAGCTGAGGCTGGCCGGGGCCCTGGAGATGCAGGGTGAAGGCTGTGCCATGGGCAAGGTTCGGAAGGGGGAAGCTTCCCTCCCCAAGGCCAGCTTCCAAGGAAACGTGGGTCCGGCCCCAGTAAATGGCAGAGCTGCTCCTCATCTCTGGGTCCAGGTGGGAGAACACAGCATGAGGACATGTTATTCCTGAGTCGGGGGTTTCATGACGAGGGTGGAGTAGCGGTGTGATGCGTCTGTGCCGTGTGTACACGCTGGTGTGGGACATGGCCTGTAGCAGCTTCTCATCTCCTCTCTTTCCAGGGAAGCAGGGGGTGGACAAGGGGCTGGTCCTCAGAGGTGCGTGTCTCCTGTGGCCCGTAAGGCACTTCTCCACCTCTAGCCAAACTCCTTCTCTGCCTCTCTTGCACCCATCCGTTCCATCCTGTTCACGTGTGGTTATCACACAAGCACTGTGGGCAGGCGGCACAGCTAGGGCTGTGGAGATGATATGTCGCTGTGCCCTCAGTGTAGGGACAGAGACACTGGCAGGGGTTGGGGCAGAAGAGAGGGAAACTCCTAACTGCCAATCCCAAACATCGGAGACCTAGAGGAGCCACGAGGCAGGAAGAGTGTGATAATGTCAGGCCTTTCAAGCTCTGCCCCAAATGCTCTGACTCTAAATCTTGCTGGTCCTGATTAGAACCTGCCCCAGGGTTTTGCTTCTCCTCACTGGGATCTCTTCTCCGGTAGGCATGTGGAGCAGGGACGCAGCAGTCCGCAGCAAAGAATAACAGCCTCGAGAGGACTCAGGCAAGCGAGAGAGGGAAGGCCTCCGGCAACGGTCTGCTCGACCCAACAGAAAGTTCCTACTGCCCTCAGAAAGCTGGAGAGAGGCCTGCTGGGGCAGTCTGTGTCAGACAGGAAAGCAGGGCTGGAGGAGTCGGTAACAGCACAGATATCTAGAACGAAGGGGTGCTTTGGAAGAAAGGAGAGGCAGGCTGTATGTACGGACACGGGAGGACTGTGGTCTTTGCTGGATGCATGCTTGTGTGTGTGCGTGTGGACACACACGCTCGCCTGTGGCAGGGCTCACTCATCATCTCAGGATGTCTTCTGATTGCTCGATGGATGCAGGAAGCCACCCAGACCCCAGTTGCTGGACTCAGAGGCAAGAGTACAGTGAAGAGACGGCATGAGGAAAAGCTGCCGGGGCCGAAACCAGCCTGGCCTGCTCCGTGCTGGTTCCCGCCCAGGTTGGCTGGCAGGCCGCGCTGGTACCTGCCAACCTATGAAGCCTCGAGCATGACTGAAGGAGGTGCGCTGCCTCAGGACTCAGTGCCCAGGCACTGCTGGGAAACCTGGGGACTCCCTTCCCCAAGGGAGTAAAGTGTCCTTCTGGGAGCTTCTGACGCAATTGTGCTTATCATGGCATTTCTGTGTGTGTTATTCCATGCAGGAGGGGCAGTTCCACTGGGAACCCCCTTTACACAGGGTCTCCCAACATCAGAGGCAATGGACAGCAATCAGAGTGCTAACTACAGAACAAACGGTAAAAACAAACACATACCCTCTTCCTGCCTAAAAGGCTCTACACCAACAGGTGCCCGGCGTAACCCAGTCAGGCTGTAAGTCTGAAGATATCTTTACCTGTTCCAGATCCCACGACGTCCCGGCTCGGGGACTCGGCCATGGCGTCAGCAAGCCGCTCCCGGAGGCCCTCCTCGGTGTGCTCCATGGACGACATGTGCCGCAGCCCGAAGCCCTCAGGCCAGCTGCCGCACACCTCTAGCAGGGTCACGCTGCGGTCAAAGGTACCTGTGGCACACATGGAACATCTGGCATTGAGCCTCTGCCTTCAGAGAACAGTTCTCTTTATGTCTACCCACCATTAACTCCCTCCGTGCTCAGGGTCCATTTTAGCCCTTCTACAGGATGGACGAACACCATGAAGTAGGATGTGTCGCACAGAATAAAACAGCTCTTACCAGTGGATCAGAGTGTAGATCTCCAGAGAATGACTTCCATGACATTAGGCTAGTGGTTTTAAAATTGTTTCTGAGGAGCTACAGGGTTCCTCTGGCCCTCAGGGACTGCTTCAAAGACTGGGACAAGGGAAGGGAACCCCCTTTCCAAATTCAACCAAAACATTTCTACTTTCCTCTGATATAATGGGATTCCACACAAAATTTCATTTAAAGAAGGAGTTACATAGCCTAATTTTTTTTTTAAAAGTTTCTAAACCATTATATTCCATAACCTATACCTAACCTCGTTACTTTACAGTTGAAGCTCAGAGAAGTTATGGCCCAAGATTAAACAGCAAGTTTATGGCTGACTTGGTCCAAGAACTCAGATCTCCTGATGCCTCTGTCTAAAACCTGTTCTACCCCACAGCAGTCTCCCGGCTGCCCAAGGACATGTGCACAACCAGGGCACTATTTTGCGGATACCAGCAATAGAGTTGGGTGATAGCATCTTCAGCAAGAATCTCTCCTTAAGCTAAAGCTACTCCCCAATTCCAAAAAGTACATGGTGTTCTGCTGAATGCCAAGATTAGATTTTACATGCAAGATCACTTCAAAGTCCAAATTTAAATTATTCTACTTTGTTATACAGCAAGTCTTCTGTGAAAGCTTATTTCATCCACTCTCTTTTGGAAGGAGATTATAGTCATGCTCTGTTGCTTTAAGCACATACCATTTCCCCAGCGATTAGGTAACTGAATCCACTGCATTTACTGGGCTTGGTTCCTGCCAGCACCAAGAAGATGGGGAAAAAATGCAAATGCCAACGCTTCCCAGAGTTAAAAGTACACGAAACACACACTCTTTATCAGGCCTTGCTTCTCTTCTTTGATCAGCCGTCAGAAACTATCTTCCCTAGGCGGTCGGGCCTGGGCAGTGTCAGACACACTCCCTGCCAATGACAGGTGGTAATAGAGAGGGTGCGAGCCCCAGCCCCGGCAGGTGGCCCTGCCTCTGATAATGGCCAAAGCATCGAGGTGATAACCGTTAGTAAACACTCTGACAGCCGGTGACTCCATACATCAGCAAAGAGGGCCAGATAATCCTGAACTCTCCTGTCCAGACAAAGGCCCTTGGCCAGCCTGCTGAGATTTATATGTGTGGCAAGGGTCACCACTGGCTCCCAAATTTCATCAGCCAAGTTTGGCTTTGATTTATCTCTTACCTAATTGTAGGGTGGATTCCTGGCACTGGGAGAACGGGCAGCATCTATAAATGCGTCTGTCCAAAACGAAGCCTACCTTGGGAGGGGGTTGCTTGGGATCAGCTCGTCAGGTGGGACTCAGGAATTGGGGGTTGCCCTATAACACCTTCTCTCTCCATCATGTAGGCTCAGGATGTAGGTCTAGGGAGCTAGGTGCTGGGAACTGGGGGTGGGGTGCTGAGCGTCACCTGATCCTCCCAGGGCCTGAACTGTGCTAGGGTCACGCACTAGCAGTGCCAAGCCCAGAGCCAACACTCAGTCAACACTGGCAACAACTCCCAGTGACCAGCTGGGGCTGCTGACACAAACTGAGCTTTCGATTCTACGGTCTACTCCCTGGGTGATGCTAGGCAAGTCCCTCTATCTCCTTTTTCCATCTCTGAAGTGCAACTAATAACTCTTTGCCCTGTCTCACAGGAGTGAAGAGATTGAGCGAGGTCCCGCCAGGAGTCTGTGCTTCCCTCTAGTGCTTCCCAGTCTTATTTGACAAGATCAAGAGCTACAGTATCATTGTTTTTCTGAACAGCCTGCCTGGGACACACATGCTTAATGATTTCAGAAGAGGGGATGACAAGAAAACGTGGGCCCTCCCCTTCCCCATACATTCAGCTTTCTCACGGACAGAGACATTTCAGAACCTGGAAAACTGGGAGGGGAATGACCATTTGCTTTCTCACTTCACAAGAGCAGAGTGCCTGCCTCTAGAAAGGCGCTCAGTTGGTGTTTGTGCATAGTGTGTTTAGAGGTCAGGGTGTGGGAGCTGACAGCAGGGCCAAGGGGAATATCAGAAGCCAAATCAGGAAGGAAACCAAAAAAATCCAAAAAATGTTAAAGCAAGAAGGGTTCAGGTAAGAGGGTGGGCCCAGTCCTTAACAATGGTAAAGGCCAGAGGAGTGTATAATATTTTAAGGGACAAAGTAAAGTATACAGGAGAAAAGAATCATGAGCTAATGTTGCAGTGGAGAGTGGAAATAGACCTGGACTTAAACGTGGACTCTAACACGTATTAGCTGTATGACTCTGGGCATGAGTCTCTGATTCCTCATCCATGAAAATGCGAAAACAACACAACCACACAGGGCTGTTGTGAGGATTGCATTAGATATATGTAAAAGTGCCTGACGTATAATGAATGTTCTGTACATAACAGGTATGGTCATGTATGTGTTAATAACAAATATGTATACCTTTCTACCACTTGAGACTTTATTTTTTTTTTAGAGACAGGGTCTTGCTCTGTCACTCAGGCTGGAGTGCAGTGGCACCATCATAGCTCACTATAGCCTTGAACTCCTGGGCTCAAGGGATCCTTCTACCTCAGCCTCTCAAGTAGCTGGGATTACAGGCACGAGCCACTGTGCCTGGCGTATATTTTGACTATGACAATGATCCTGAGAGGTAGTACACAGGTACTACCCCAATTAATGGAGGAGGAACTGGAAGCTGAGAAAGGTTAAGTGACATGTTCAAAGCCTCTGAGTGACAGATCTGGCAGAAGGGCTCCTAATTCTTAGCTCACACACTGCTTCCCTTAGCAGCCTCTACAGTGGGATAACCATTATATGTAGAAATCACTCACTTTCCTAACTTGTTTTGAGAACTCCTGTGTCACCTTCAACCAACGCCTTTTAAAAATCCTTTCCACTCCCAACAAGCCCAAGTTCCTTGGGGTGTCATGGTAATGACGACGAGTCACCTTGTCTACTCGACAGCTCACAGGAAGAAAAAAACTGATAGGTCTGTTCTCTCCTAGTGTGTGCATGGGAAGGAAGTCATGGGTAGGAGGTGGGAGATACCAAAAGTGTTCAGCAAAGAAGCACGTGATCATTTCCACTGTTTTGAAAAGTCACAGAGAGGATACAATCAGTGGTCCTGCTTATCCTGCTAAGAGTCCCAGCAGAGGCGCTGTGATACCCGCTTTCTGTCCTCCCCTTCCACTCCTGGCAGCCTCTTTGCTGAGAACAGCAAAGGAGCTCCTGGAGTCTCCTGGTCCTGGCGTGAGAGCAGGGCTGCAGGTGTGTGTTTCAGCAGGCGCTGGGGTGAAGAGGCCAAGCCCTTGGAGGGTGAGGTCACCTCTGGGCTCTTAGGAAACTGCACATCTTGTCGGTGTTGACGGCACCACTATCATTCATCTGGCCAGCCCAGAGACACTCCATCAGATGAGCTGGCCCTTTGAGTCCCATTACGGGAGAAAGGGTCAGTTTCCAGGAGGGAGAAGATGCTCACTTAGTGCAGGCTGTTTGCAAAGCACAAAATATACATGCTTAGCAACAAAGATCTTTTGCTAGAGCAATGCTCTGCTATTTACAAAGCCCTCTCACATTTATCATTTCAGTTAACTCACACATTCATCAAATATTGATTAGTGCCCGCCATGATATGAGTCAAGCACTGTACTCAGGTACAGAGTGAGCCCAAAATAAATAAATAAAAAATGAGCTCATGGTCCTTTACAGAACTCTGGGAAGCAGCAATTATCACAATTTTACAGATTTACATCGTACTGAGTTTGAGAGACATGAGGCAACTGGCTCTAAATGTTAATAGTCTTTCCACGATGCCTCCAGGGAACCCTTTTCTTCAGGGCTGCCTCCTACCCTGCTACTCTCTGAATACCTTTTCCAAGAATGAGGACAAGTCTTACTGCTCAACGAAACCTTGAGCGACTACCCAGATATAATGAATGCCCTTACACAAACTCTGACGGTATAAAAGGTTCTTTACCTTCCTGGGTGAAGTTGATGAAAGCTACTCACTTACCAAAAGAATGTGTGCTTGTGCACACACAATTATGCAAGCAATTTCGGGGTGTTTATGGATGGCTCTGAAGCCCGCCCGTGGACCCCAGGTGAATTAGATCATTCCTATGGTCTTATTTCCATACTGCCTTACTTACATTGTTCTCCTGATCTGTTTTTCCACCTAGTTTAGAAGCTCCTGAGGGCACGAATTCCTTCGTAATGGAAATAAGCATAGGACTTTGCACATCGTGCTTGCTCAAAACAGGTTCGTTTATTGTGACCATCTGAGAAATCTGACAGTCACTTTGGAGTCGACACCCTTTGGGTGGGGTACCAAAAGTCTGAACATCTGGGCCCAGGGTAGGCAGAAAATGGAGTTAAAATTTAAAAAGAGGAAGGAAGAGGATGATAAATGAGCAGAAAACAATGTCACAATTTTACTCTGCTGCTTTTTATGCACTTATTTATATGGAGATTCTGGAAACTGGAAAACAAAACAATCTGCCTGGGATGGCACAGAGAGCTGGTCTCATACAGGCGAGCTTCCCAAATCCTGCTTCCTAGCTTGGCACCCTGTGTTATACTCTCTTCTCAGAGGAGAAATGGATCAGGTTCTTGGGTTTCGCAAACCCATTAAAGGCATGCTGTGACAGCTGGTAAGCTGGAAGCTCCCAGAGAGGCTCGGGGACACGTGCCCTGCCTTTGTGTACCACTGTTCCAGGGGTAAGGCCACCCTGGGTGGAGGTGGAGTGGGGCAGGTAGGAAGCTACTCTCAGCTGATAGTGTCTAATCACACCCTCACTATTTAAGAGACTGTGGCACAGCCTCTGCTCTGCATCAGTTAGA